TCGCAACATAGTTTGGCTGCTGTAGTATACAGTGGCAGCAGGCAGCATGCATGGATGTCGTTGGAATCTACAGAACTCAGGCGATCCACGGCAGCATTTTGCAAGGTCTATTCTCGGATGTTCATTAAGGGCACCTTCCAGAAATGGTGGCGGCCCGGTTCGTGGTTTGCCTCGCAGGACCAAGTCGCACTTATAAGTGCATATAACCACACATCGGGAATACACAGCCACATCATAATCAGGGTTTGGGGTCCATATAGGTCTCATAATGTACATACATACAATTGTGGTTTTGTGTAGGGCAGATATCCCGCCTCACAGCATAGGAGCGATCATAAAAGATAGCCGCATAAAAAGCTACAAACCACATTCAGTGCAGTTGCTGTAGTGACTGATCGCTACGATATCATTAGTTGCTCTTGTGTGTTCTGTCTATGGAGACCTACAGAAAAGTAGTACTAGCTTTGGAACCCATATACCCCACATTCAAATCTCTTAAACTAACATCCAGCCCTTCCTGTGGTTTCCTAAAACCCCATACCCAGAACCGCAAACCAAAATTATCAATCCTATTTGTAGAGCGACCCATCATCTCTCCACGCCGAGCCCCGTCCCGAAATCTTAATCCCATAAACCCAAACCCCAATCATCGATCCCAAACTTCCACCCCCCCTATATCCTCTGTAGAACCCAAAGTTTCACTTTCACACCCTTAATTAAACCCAGGCCCGACCCCTATAAATCCCAAGCTCGAACCTAGAAGCCTCTGCTCTGTCTCCAGGAGATCGGTGATCCATGAGCACGATATGGCTCCGTAGAAGAGCCGGCCCGCTGTCTGGAAGTCGGACAAGGGTCGGGTATGCAATAGTTACAATGGTTTGGGGTTGGGCTTTTTAGGGAACTGCTGTGGTGCCCCTGCAGGTTGAAGTGTTTTGGATGTGTTTTATATAAAATATATGTAAAATAGAGACACCGACCGGTGGCGCAAACAGCCGTAGGAGTGGCGCAAACATCCGTAGGAGTGGCGCAAAAAAACGTAGGTCGACTTATGTGTGCTTTTGCTCTGCATTGCAAGAGACTTGAACAAGTGGCAGCCTCGACTGTGATGTGTTTTGCCCGTTTGCTCTGCCACTCATCTAGGTGAAGCCGAGTGTAGAAGCAGCTTCTGTGCTCGCAGTGCCCAGCCCCGCCTGGTAAGCCATGCTCGGTGCCGATCGGAGAGACATGATCATGAAGACCCTGCAGGATGCAGGGGCACCGGCCGTTTCTGGGTTGCATGTATGGGGCTTATGTTAGTAGGGTTTCTGAGGCATGTGGAGTCTCTGATGCTTGCATGATTACTGAGATACTCGTCATTATGTTGGCGATGGTATCAAACCTTCGAGCAGGTGGGGCTTGCCGGCCAGTTATGCTGCAGAGTGTTTGCTGTGAAAGACAGTGTTTCTTTATTCCGATCCAGGAATATGAGGCTGTGGAGTTCAACAATGATGCTCCATTCGTGACCAAAACCCTCAAGGCCAAAGGTCTCCGGGCGGTCTCGGTTCGATGGGGGAGCGAGCCCACTGATTTCATGTGTCATGGCCTATACTTTCCAAGCCTTTTGTTGCTGTCGTCGAACCATTGAAACTCAAACTCTTCCTAACATCTGAGGCTGATGCTGATTATTGTCCTGAAGATGAAACCGGGCAGTATTGTCCATGGAAGAACGATTGATGGTCATCTTATGGCCGGCCGGCACCCCGTCTGCACTAGCTTTAGCCCATGTTGCCCATGTGCTGTCTCGATACATGCTCATGTGAGGCTGGCTTTGGTATTCTTCCTGGCACAGGCTTTGGGACTCACTTGGACTGTGGAAATGCCTCCTAATCTAAGAGAGCACCCTCGGTGGTCCAAATTTGCTGAGCCGACGAAGATGTTTGGAGCTAGATGTTGGGTGAGCTCTTGGGGGGCTTCGTGTCCGAGCAAACTCAAGCTCCTATCGAACTCCCGAGCAATATTGATCTTCCACCAGCGACTGCAAGCCCGCCTGGCGAAGAAGGTGAAGTGCCGCATGGATGCCTCTAGGGCCAAGAAAAGGAAGCATGGGCCACATGGTCGCAACATAGTTTGGCTGCTGTAGTATACAGTGGCAGCAGGCAGCATGCATGGATGTCGTTGGAATCTACAGAACTCAGGCAATCCACGGCAGCATTTTGCAAGGTCTATTCTCGGATGTTCATTAAGGGCACCTTCCAGAAATGGTGGCGGCCCGGTTCGTGGTTTGCCTCGCAGGACCAAGTCGCACTTATAAGTGCATATAGCCACATCATAATCAGGGTTTGGGGTCCATATAGGTCTTATAATGTACATACATACAATTGTGTTTCTGTGTAGGGCAGATATCCCGCCTCACAGCATAGGAGCGATCATAAAAGATAGCCGCATAAAAAGCTACAAACCACATTCAGTGCAGTTGCTGTAGTGACCGATCGCTACGATATCATTAGTTGCTCTTGTGTGTTCTGTCTATGGAGACCTACAGAAAAGTAGTACTAGCTTTGGAACCCATATAACCCACATTCAAATCTCTTAAACTAACATCCAGCCCTTCCTGTGGTTTCCTAAAACCCCATACCCAGAACCACAAACCAAAATTATCAATCCTATTTGTAGAGCGACCCATCATCTCTCCACGCCGAGCCCCGTCCCGAAATCTTAATCCCATAAACCCAAACCCCAATCATCGATCCCAAACTTCCACCCCCCCTATATCCTCTGTAGAACCCAAAGTTTCACTTTCACACCCTTAATTAAACCCAGGCCCGACCCCTATAAATCCCAAACTCGAACCTAGAAGCCTCTGCTCTGTCTCCAGGAGATCGGTGATCCATGAGCACGATATGGCTCCGTAGAAGAGCCGGCCCGCTGTCTGGAATATGTAAAATAGAGACACCGACCGGTGGCGCAAACAGCCGTAGGAGTGGCGCAAACATCCGTAGGAGTGGCGCAAAAAAACGTAGGTCGACTTATGTGTGCTTTTGCTCTGCATTGCAAGAGACTTGAACAAGTGGCAGCCTCGACTGTGATGTGTTTTGCCCGTTTGCTCTGCCACTCATCTAGGTGAAGCCGAGTGTAGAAGCAGCTTCTGTGCTCGCAGTGCCCAGCCCCGCCTGGTAAGCCATGCTCGGTGCCGATCGGAGAGACATGATCATAAAGACCCTGCAGGATGCAGGGGCGCCGGCCGTTTCTGGGTTGCATGTATGGGGCTTATGTTAGTAGGGTTTCTGAGGCATGTGGAGTCTCTGATGCTTGCATGATTACTGAGATACTCGTATCAAACATGCCCTTCGACTTCGAGCAGGTGGGGCTTGCCGGCCAGTTATGCTGCAGAGTGTTTGCTGTGAAAGACAGTGTTTCTTTATTCCGATCCAGGAATATGAGGCTGTGGAGTTCAACAATGATGCTCCATTCGTGACCAAAACCCTCAAGGCCAAAGGTCTCCGGGCGGTCTCGGTTCGATGGGGGAGCGAGCCCACTGATTTCATGTGTCATGGCCTATACTTTCCAAGCCTTTTGTTGCTGTCGTCGAACCATTGAAACTCAAACTCTTCCTAACATCTGAGGCTGATGCTGATTATTGTCCTGAAGATGAAACCGGGCAGTATTGTCCATGGAAGAACGATTGATGGTCATCTTATGGCCGACCGGCACCCCGTCTGCACTAGCTTTAGCCCATGTTGCCCATGTGCTGTCTCGATACATGCTCATGTGAGGCTGGCTTTGGTATTCTTCCTGGCACAGGCTTTGGGACTCACTTGGACTGTGGAAATGCCTCCTAATCTAAGAGAGCACCCTCGGTGGTCCAAATTTGCTGAGCCGACGAAGATGTTCTGCGGCCGCAATCTTGGGTGCCCCCCTTGGAGACGCTGCAAGCTTGCCTGCAATCCTCCCCTCCCCGCCGACCAAGATTAGCAAGATTGACTGCGCGTTCTTGGTCGAATATCGGACCTCTTTTCCCAATACACCGTACTACTACTAAGCTACTATTAGGCACACGCTCGTAGGAGGCCTGGTGTTTGTTCATGCGTTTCGGAGTGAACGCAGACCTCAGATTTCAGCACTTCGACGGTGCTTTGGGCTGCTAGGGAAAATGGAATGCGCCAAAAGGGTGAGTTTAGCCACATCAAGTAATGGCAGGGCCGAGGAAATCGTGCACAATTCAGCTGAGGGTGTCAAAAATCACAAAATTGTGTTGAATGTTAGGGATACTTGTAGTCTGCTACTTACGCAAACAGTTCACATAGGAAGGCAGAAAGGAACAGAACTCGCTCAAGCAGGAAAAGCAGGAAAGCTAAGGTACATCCCCGAAATTCGAATCTGAACAAACCTGACCCGAAATCGCTATTAAAGAACATGGTGCGATTAGCGAGCCGAGCGATTCGTGCATAATTCAGCTCAGGATGTCAGAAATCACAAAATTCACAAAGCACCTTTTGAAGCTGTGGGATATCACCCTGCAAACAACACCATGAAGAACTGCCCAATGCACCCATCGCCATGAATGAAGACATGAAGAAGTGCAACAGGACGCCATCATGCGCCTCACCCCGCAACCGTGCAAACTAGAGCAAAAGTGCCTGAAACCTCCAGGCCTCCTGTGGGCGTGTGTGGTACTACTATTATGGATCCGACTAGTACTACTAGTACTACTACTACTACTACTACTACTACTACTACTACTACTACTACTACTACTACTGCTGCGACTACGGCTGAGATGCCACTGCAACTAGTACGACGACTACTGTAGTTTTGTTATTGCGGTTATTACTTTTGCTACTGCTGCTGCTACTTCTACTGCCGCTATCGGCAACTGCTGCGACTGCTGCTACTGCTGCTGCTGCTGCTGCTACTGACAAACAGCAGCTGCAACCACCACCACCACCACCACCACCACACTGCCACTGCCGCAGCTACTGCTGCTACTACTGCAACTTCGACCCCTGCTGCTACAAGCATTCATGCGAGAGTTCCCCGACGGGTGCACGAAAGGATTCAAATATTGTGCGAATAAGCCGTATCCAGAGGAAGAACATGATTTGCGCTCAAAGCGACATGTGCTCAGCAATGGCAGAAGTAAGACGTGCCGCTTGCCTTCGGATGCTTCCGAGGTCGCGGATGCTGTGAAGGACACAGAGCTTCTTCGGAACACACTGCGCAGGGCTCCAATTGCGGCCTTCTCATTGTGTCGATGGTGGATCCAACTTGGCAAGCTCAGGCAACTTAGCTTTTTTCGAGACCTTCGATGATGACGCACTTCACTGCCTGATCGAGGACATCTTTGCTGTTTATTCGCTGTGATCAATAGAATTGAAACTTGATGCCGTAGAAGAGTGCTAGAGAGCAGCAGCTTCAATGCAAAAGGAGCCTAGTTGAACTGCAAATGTCGATATTATAAAAGCTTTGTGCCGCATAGGCTTGCCATAGACAGGTGCTGAAAGCATCCTCATGATGGCAAGCGCTCAGACATTGGGCCCTACTACTTCGACTACTGCTACTGCTACTGCTATTCCTACTACTGCTACTACTACTACTACTACTACTACTACTACTACTACTGCTCCTACTCCTACTGCTGCTACTCCTGCTCCTGCTGCTCCTGCTCCTGCTCCTGCTGCTACTGCTACTGCTGCTGCTGCTGCTGCTGCTGCTATTACCTCTACTAATACGAATACTGGTAATAATACAGTAATAAAAACAATACTGAGTCTAGTACTTTCACATCATACTTAATACTAATACTACTATTATGTCTTGACATGCCAGGCCATGGAAGTCTACGAGTTCCAGCACAGCGAGAAGGTCGTACGTCAGGGAGACACAGATGGTGCGCCGAAGAGACGTGTCGTTTGGAAGGGGACGGTATGTTGCTTTGCGCCCAGGAACTCATTTCTTCGTGGTCGCTCAGGGTGAGTTTTGTGTCCTCAAAGACAACAACCCTCATTGTTACATCGGGCACTGAACTCAATCCAAAAGCAGTCCATGGCAAGTTCAGCCCGGTAGTGCCAATTGTCAACACAGGCCGGGGACATCCTTTGGTGAGAGCGTTCTCCTGCTCTTCGGGGAACGGAATGCGACGGTGTGTGCGAGAGGATGTGCCAGCCTCAAAATGAGCCGCCCGTATAGTTGCAACTCTGTACAAGGAGGAGGCAGGTGTCGTACATGCCAACAGCATGCTGCCTACATTCTGAATCATCCTGATACCCTGCTTTTTCACACCTCGACCTCGGTGCTCACGAGGATGAAAATGTCCAAACTAGAAAACCACTGCCGTCAGATGCCGTCAGATTACAAGGCAGCTGGCAAGTCTTGCAAGCGTGAGCTTAGCACGTTCGATTGTCCGAACTGGCCACCCCATCTTGCTGCCAGTGTACCAACGAACAGAGTAGCGCAAGATGCAGCAGTCGCACTGCCAAGCTGTGGTGCTAGTTGCCTTTGGAGAGGGCGACTGTCCCGATTATATTCGTAGCTGAGTACAGGGAGGTCGTCTTCATAGGTTGTCGCTGTTGTGAGGTGCTCGAGCTTACGGCATGGAGGGCATGCAGGAGCGGTGCCACGGGGTCTGCAGGATACGCTGTGGATTGACTGGGTTGACATTTTGCAGAACAGAATGCAAAGACTGCAATTCAGGTGCGGGAGTTGCTCAGCAAGCAATACGAGCAAATGCGCCGTTCAGTCGTTGAGGCCACAGACGAGGCCAGTCATTCTTCGTTGGTTTCTAGCGGACAGTTGAATTGCAGGGCATGTACTTTTGTTGCACAGGTCTTGAAATCCAAGCTTTGTGAAATATTGCCCGGCACCAACTTCGGCACGCTTTGCGGCGGGGCCACACCCCAATTAGAAGCCCGCAGGTCTGGCCTCAATGGCTACGAACTGCAGAGCCTGTATGATCAGGCAGCCGTGCACGTTGAGTTTCATGGAGTGCCTTCACCCGAGACGATTTGTTTGTCAGGGTTGTATACCAGGGGAACGGGGCGAGGCATCCCGGACCACCAAATCCTTTTTGAGGCGGTAGGATCGCGCGACCATGCAGGATTCTTCGAGCATGTTTTGGAGCTGGGCAATCCTGAACTCCAAACTCGTCCCTCCAGCTTCGACTTCCATGTGTCTCCAAGATTCTTGCAAGCTGATCGGAAGACGTCCTGAGAATGCTTGACCAAACATCATGATACAGTAACTGTAATTAGCCTGTTCACTTGACCGTCCCCGGATTAGTCGTCGATCTTCATCCGAAGATGGAATGGAGATGTTACTGAGATGTTGGATTGCTTCGATGATTTCCCGAACACACACAAATCACAGGCTGTCAGAACGCTCGTTGCCCAGCCAAAAGGTGGACGTGTGCTGGGGTGCTCACACATGATGAGATTTGCCACGCCAAACGACGGGCCAACTTTCGTTACCTGTGCCCATTAGTACCCGATGATGGTTCTGTCCCATTCGAAACTGGCTAGTTCATGTTGCCGCCTTGTGCAGGCTTGTCATACACAGGTTTTTGTTTAATACTGCAGGTCATAGGCCCAACAACGGCGAGGATGATGGAGGTGACAATTCATGCCGATTATAGGATTCAGAGGTCGATAGTGTCACCGGCAGTGTAAAAGTTTGGTCACGGTGTCGGACTATGTGCCGAGGGTTGCTTGTGCATCCTGAGGCCGCAGCCGACATGACATTCCAGCGGTACCATTCTGTCAGGTTGAGATGAGAAGCTTTGACGAGGGAGATACCATTCTCAGCGAAGGAGATTCTCCGAAGGAGGTGCACCTCAACAAAGTTGCATTCATTACGTCTCTACGTGTTGACTGACAGACCAAGGTCCTGATCCTTTACAGTGGCCAAGTGGAGTCGTGGCATGAACCTCAGGTATTCGGTGCACTGCTGTGAACATGGAACGGTGTGAGATGTGCGCGATTGCACGCGCAGGATGACCGAGAGACGCTATACTTCGAGTCTGGGCGTGTGCGTCGCTGCTCAGGAAAGATGCACAAGATGCGGAAGCCGTTCCAAGGCCCGTAAGCAATGAGCAAGACATGCTCACCAGGCAGGCTTTTGGTGAAATCATGGTTCAGGTTTCATCTTATTGGAGACTATGCTCTTCCCTTCAAGGACCCTCGCCTGCGCCACCTTCACAGCTATAGTAGCAGCTATAGAGCGCTGTGTGCTGTGCAGTTTTATGGCTGCCGACAGAAATCTGGATTGGCGTGCAGGATGAGGTTGTCTTCGAGCAACCGACAAACTTGAAAGCAGCAACTCCTGTCGAGCCAGCAGCTAAGACGGCCTCCAGTGCAGGTGCTGGAAGACAACGTCGAAAGTCATAAGTCATAAACTTGAAGGAGCAGCAAAAGTTTGGAAGACTTCGCTGCCTTTGGGCTGAGAGCCGAGGGTGCTGGTGCTGAAGCGCAGCTTGCTGGACAACATCTTCGGGGACCAACTGCAGCAGGCAGGTGTCAACATAAGCAGGCATGAAGCAATGGCAAGTTCTCAGATTACCGATCCCCACCCCACCCCAAGTGGTGCATGAGGTGGTGCAAGCGGTCAGGATTGGCAAGATTGCGCGCACGGTTTTGGTCGCTGATCTGCTCTCGTTTGTCGCCATAGTGTACCATTACTTCTTCTACATCTACTGCTGCTGTTGCTGCTCCTACCAAGTAATACCACCACCACCACCACCACCACGACCGCCGACTGCCTACTACCTCCTACTGCCACCTCTTCCGTGATACTGCTGCTGCTGTTGCTACCACTACCACCAGCCCTACCGCCACTGTAAGCTGAGAACTGCTTGAATCACTTGGGACAGACCATGTCCGAAAGCTGCTAACATGGCAGTGATTCCGTCTCTCATACATGCCGGTCATGTTAGGTTCGCACATACAGCAGGAGACAGCCGCGTCGAAAGCATTCGACGACAGAGTCATCGCGAGAATAGCTTTGTGGTTCCATCAACCAAAACGGGTTGTCTTAGCTAAAAGGACAAGTCTCCATAATCAAGTGGTCGTTGAGGGAGGCTGGAAACCTGGCAGCGTATGGCAACACTGGCAACGTATAAAAAAACGAGACATGACGTGGTCTCTACTCAGATTTTGTTTTGCATCTTTGGTTACCTTCATGCTCGAGCAGTGTGTGATTTCGCTAGCATTTGCAACGGTCCCCCAACACACATGGCACAAGTGCGTGAGACAAAATACGGGGGCGCGTGCCAGCCCATCTTCATAACGCCTGTCGTAATCTCGGGGAGAGTGAAGTGTTGAGACTGCAGTCCCTTTGCGAAACCTTGTCAGGTTCTTGTGAAGCACAGAGTGCTGCACGTGCTGGCAAAGCACCAGGTTGGTTCGCATTCAGCTCTGGGCCTTGCATCGTCTCCGAGCCACAGGATTTCTCCCGCCTTCATCAAGAGCATCGAGAAGCCATCGCCGGATCTTGCCAGATTCGCTGTCTTGCTGAAGGTGAGCAGGGGTTTACTTACTTGTGCCTGGTGCCGGTGGGTTCCATGTCCATAGTTTCCAGCATGACAGGTTCGGTGCAAAGCTGGGAGGCGGGACAGTCTTCTGTGAGAGACGGCAAGAGCTGCCACTTCACTTGTCAAATGCAGGTTATGTTGCAGAGGTTACTAGTAGATCTTATGCCTCCGGTGCGATGGTCGCACATGATCTCGACAGACAATCTGGCCATCACGATACAACGGTTGAGCATTTACTGGGTTTCACGCTTTAGAGATCAGTTCTGCCGGCCCGGCACAACATCAAGCACAGTCCTTGCTAGAAAAACAGCCCTGCCCTCGACGTAGCCGTAGCTTTGTGAACGGTTGGGCCACAGTTTGTCCCACACCTACCGGAAGTGTTAGGACACCCAGGGATCTAGCCTAGCATCCGCACAGCGACTGGGACATAGTTGAAGACTCGATGTCGTCTTTCAGTCCTTGGCAGGCTTCGGTGCGGAACAGTTGGCCTTCCACTTCAGAGATCGGGCTCCGAGCACCTTAAAAAAGCATCTGAGTGACTAGCACCGGTTTTTCCGGGCCTCCGGAGCTCAGCCCGGTTGCCCGGGCAATGGATTTCTTGGAGGCGCTGGCTGAAGGAGCGAGTTGTGACCGTGCTATCAGGCAATCAGGAGCCGCTCGTGGGGTGGTCCATGCCATGCGTTTCCTTGCTCCATTGCTCACAAGCTGGGCCTGGAGATGCCTGGAGCCTTTCGGTGTGATCTCGCAGAGATAGTCCGGCCGAGCACCGTCGGAGGCTTTACCGCTTCCTCCGTTCACAGTGTGCTAGCTTGGGCTGGCAGTGTTGGATTGAACATGTTGACAGCTGTCTGATTGGCTGCTTCCTTGTTATGTTGTGGTCAAGATTACCGCTATGGTTTTTTTTCGGATGCGCAGCACGTGGACGTGTCCTCACTACTTGTGGCTGATGGCTCCGCAGATGGTGTTGGAAGAGTAAATCTAGCCCCTCTGGATGTGCTTGGGGTTGCTTGGTCTCGGGGGCCACTAGTGGCAACAGCTGGACCACTTCCTTTGCCGCGGAGCTCTCCAAGATCCACGTGGATTATCCCGAGCGTGACTATCTTTTCGGTATTTGGAAAGGCCCGGGCCCGATTGCATGTTCGACAGCATTGTCTCACCTGCGGTGCTGCGGCTGCCGACGCATCCCTCGATATTGTTGTCGAGCGTAAGTTTGCGCTGCATAGCTTGAAGACGACACCACTCACTTGGAGCTTGCATTAGGGCGACGCAACGACACCATCGTGTTCGCGATGTCGTTCCAGCTTTGCGGTGTCGAAGGAGCGTCTTGCACGCCGTGCAAGACCACTGGGTGCCGTGTACGGCTCTGGCTCGTGGTCTCGTGGCTCCGTAAGATCAACCCTCGCGAAGTGCTTCTGGCCTCCCAAGGCCAGGTGCGGAAACTTTTGAGATCTCAGCTTGTCGGCTTTGATGGATAGTGTTCAAGTAGCACCGCTATCACGAACACCGAAGAATAATCTTTCTCGAGTTGGCACCTCATCTTCTCACGATCACTAGGCGTTAACTTAGAGGAAGACCCCACCAGCACAAGTGCCAAAGAAGATCCAACCATTAAGCTGCCTGGAGATGCTTGCACGGCTAGCCGTTCCTCCAGAACAGCCTAATCATGCGCGCGTGCCGCCGCTACAGGGTGTGTGGCCCGGTCATCAAGCTTGGAGCGCAGCTTGCCCACCTTGTCAATCCGAGCGTGATGGTGGCATCCGCCACTGACTCCTGCAGTCCCTGCTCCACCCGCTTGCTATGCCAGGATGCCACTGCAAAATTCAACAAGAAGAGCACGAGACATCACGAGACAAGACAATCACGGAAGGAGCGGAAGATCGTGGGATTAAGCAGCACACTGCATTGCCCAAAGTGACAAACGCACGGTGTTGACAGTTCGATGTGAAGTACCGACATGAAGCGCCCAAAGCGCAGGCCAGAGCACCCAAAGTGATGGCCGGGAGCATAGGACCCCAGAGCACCACACTGATCAATGCAACTCTGCACACACAGGATCTCATGCGACACTCAAGGCAGACGGAGGCCCGTTCGAGGGCACAGGCACCTGCGCCCGAAGCAGGCGCAGAACTCATTTAGGCCACGTCCAACAGCCGTAGCTCGTAGCTCATCATACTGCAACATGCTGCTATCAGCACTCTGCACACTGCGACGGAACCAACCCGTTACCAGGGTTACCACATCCAAAATCCAGGGGCTCTGATACTCAAGCACATCCGCCTCCGGCTCGGAGGCAACAGAAAGCGAATCACTCTGCACGCTGTCCACATCGCTGGCATCCAACCCGTGAGCATACGACCGGATACGAATCATCAAACTCTGCCTCGTCGGAGTCCAGATCTTTGGCTGCATTATTTTTTTCAAGCAGGCCTTTGGTGCCTTCTGCTGCGTGCGGGTTATCTTAACAATGTCTTGCTGCCCGGGCCATAGGAGGCCGCCGGTCCCATATAACATGCGCACGCATGATATGAAAATGTAGATTTCAGCATGTGTGTTACCGGAGGCTCGAGAATGCGACAGGAGGGCGCGTGCAGCCTCCGTTTACGTTTACCTGCAAACCTTGGAACCTTACCCCGAACCCCTAACTTTTAAACCTTGAAACCCTAACCCTGAAATCCTTAACCCTTCAGCCCTGAGCAAGTTTCACAGACAGTGTTGAAAACAGAACATCGACCAGGAGATCTACATCGCCCGCGTCAACTCTGCACGGAGCCGAACAGGGGAAAGGAAAGGAGCGGTGGAAGAAGCGGATGGGGAGAACGTCACGAAGAACCCGCACAAGACCGTGATGGCGGCATGGGCGGCTGCAGTGGTGGGGACTCGGCAGCGGACGCACCGACCGTGCCCGTGGACTAGATGCATTGCTGTGCCGATAATGAATAGTCCAACTCAATCCGTGAAGGACTCGACTCGAGCTTCTCAAAAGGTTTCCTTCCTGACCGAGCTTCAGTTGTGATGACTCACCTCCGAGGAGCCCTTTGACAGCTAGCAAGAGGATCCTGGAGGGAGCTGCGAAAGATGCTTTCGGGTCAGCATGATCGGAAATCTCGATTTGTCAAGCCCACCTCATCATTTAGCTCGTCGGTGCAGAGCGCACCACGGGCCTGGGGACGTGCACGAGGGGCTAGGCAGTCTAGACATTCCTCGAGCAAATGGATCCAAAGTCTCCAGACCGATCCCCTCAGTTTCGCGGGTTATGAAACTCCAAGGTTCCAAGGTGGAGCGTCAGCAGTCCAAGCTGCCGGAAGTCGTCGTCTCCTGGTCGCCAGAGGATTTCGAGGATGCCCCGTGCGAGTTGGGGAATCCGTTGTCGGCTACGTCGGGGAGAAGGCGCGCTTGAGGAGGGTTTTCGGCGATGGCCGGAGGAAAAGGAGGCAAATATGTCTTCTGGGCTAAATGGATTTGCCATCAAGACTTGACCAGATGGGTCGAGTATCGAGGAGACGAAAGGCCAAGGAATCACGCGCGAAGCTTTAAGATCGATTGGCCACATCTGTGGTCATAAACTTCTCGGCATCCAAGCCAGCTAGCTCTGCGAGTGGCTTCCTGGCGACGCATTTTGAGCGAGGAGCCCGACGAGTGGGGCCTCGAGATGGCAGGCGCTGTGTTGCGCACAACACCTTCTCGAAACGCGCTGTCACGCGTTCGCCATGGTTGGTGCATGCCACTTACACAGTTGGGTGGTGTGTGTGTGTGTGTGTGTGAAAAAGTTCCTCTCGTTGTGTGTGCACAAACCCTCGGACATGTTTCGTGCCCCGACTGCGCATGAAGCGGAGGCAGCTGATCTCTTAGTTTCTCGCTCTCCGCTCTCTCCCAGCCATGTGCTCCGCGAGCGGCTGAAGGCTGTCAAGACGGAGAAGGACCTCCGTTACTTCCGGCCTGCCGCCTCTGCCCAACAAGTCGGATTCAAAGCATCAGCCTGCCAATCTGGGTGGCGGACATCAAAATGTCAAGCACCTTCGCAACGGGGAATGCTGGCTTTTGGTCGAGGGAAAGCGTTCCAACCCGTTCACTTCAAGCATGAGTGCGCCGTCTGCGGTGACAAGTCGCATCATTCGGCAGCGTGCCCCCACCGCGGTTCCCGTTGACGCGGGACACGGCTTGAGCCACGACAGCCAGATGCAACAGCAACAACAACACCGGGAAGCGCAAGATGGGCTTGATTATCGGTGTGAGCCTGGGCGTGGGCAGATTGAAGGCAGACCCAGCCGTCTGGAAGCGGGTGCCTCCAAGTTGGTGCCTCTAGCAGTAACCGCTTTCGCTTGAAAGACGGCGGTGGTATCTGGTCGGATGCTGACTGGATGTGTCCAGAAGACTTGTTGCAATCACGGAAGCAGCCTTGGATGAAGCGAGTCTCTACGTGGAGCTTGATTCCACCTTTGCTGGCCCAGTCTGTGCATTGTGCGCGCGTTCTCATTCATGGCACTTCCTCGCCATCTATGTGGATGATCTATTGGCTTTTTCTCACGACATGAAGCACCTGTTTTCGCATGCTTGCGCCTTATGCTGGCAGTGGCAGGGCAGTGGCTCTGGGAATCTTTGTTTCGTGGGGCAAGTTGCAGCTGGCGGAATCGTTGCGATGGATCGGATGGGAGATCTGCCTGACTAGGGGTCCTGTCGCAGTCTCGCCTGATGATAGGCGAGCTGCTCTGCTGCCCGCGTTACAGCCTGTGCGTGTGCCGGGTGCCGACTTCAATCGAAAAGATCTCCGAACACTTGTTGGACGTCTACGCTGGTTCACTGCTTGTTTCCGTTGGTTGCGGCCCTGGCTGGCTATATGGTTTGAGGCCATGGCCAAGCTTAAAACATGCGGCTAATTACTGTGTGCCCGTGCGGCAAGTCCGATGTCCAGGTTGGACATGTGCAACGGGAGGATTTGGACCAAGTTCTCGGGTGCTTCTGAGTGCAAGTTTAGGTGGACGGTGGATAGTGCCTGGTGCTAGGTTGCATCCACGGAACATCCGTTAGTTTTGCATGCTGATTCAGCGGCCCGATTTTCCTGCTGGGTTCCTCGAGTCATTGGATCCTGACCTTCAATCATTGATTGCCCTTGCGCCTCGCTAGAAAGGACTGGCGTGGCTGGCTGGTTTGGCGACGAGAGTGTAGGTGTTGTCGAGGCAAGCAAGCATCAAGGGATTGTCCCTCAAGGCGCCGTTGGCTTTTTCCTGCAGTCAGCAAAGCTATTCTGCATTGAGCGTTGCGATTGACTCATATCGCCGAAATGTGCAATTGGCTATAGGCATGTGCTCTATCGCATGGACGTGCAGCAGTGGCTCCTGCTTTTGGTGCCAGCTAGGCACAAGCCGCAGTGTGCCCGGATTGGAAAAGTTTGGTTGAGTTTGGCCGAAGCAAGACCTTAAAGCATGCGTTGTTGCAAGGGCCAGTTAAAGGCCCGACAGCTTGATTGGGCATTTGATGCCGTTGGTGGAGGCTTGCTCCCGCTTGCTCCACAGAGCCGCGAGTGCGGGCGTGGATTCAGGTTGCCCATCCGCGCGTTGTTTGGGGCACTGTGTCACCGTTATGTGTCTGAGGCGGCACGGGCGGTGGCTGCGGTTCTGCTTTGGGCGGAGATTTAAGATTTCCTTGACAGAGACGGACGGGGGGATTGGGCGCCCTTTTCCACAACAGCGGACGAATTTGCAGCCAAAATTTTCCGCCCAACCCTACGGGTAAAGTGAAAGTTGGGTAGTTTGTGGCGGGGTTTGGATGGGATATGGCCGCTTATACCCAACCTGCGCACTCTTATTAGAGATCGGCTACGGCTCAAGGGCCCGGGCGGAGATTTCCTTGACAAGGACGGACCGGGTGGCATGTGCCCCCCCTTCCACAACAGTGGATGAACCTGCAGCCAAAGCTGTCCGCCCATGCCTAATGGTTTCAAGTGTGCACTTCAGGTAAAATAGGTTTCGTAATAGTCAGCTGCATAGGGCACCATCAGGTGTCCTGCGGAGAAATATTGGGATGCTCGATTGCAGGACGTGCGCATGATTGTGGCATTAAACGGCGAAATTGAATTGCCAAAGCCTCAGACGTTGAACAGCACAACATAGCACAGCTCGTGAAAGTCGGGTAGAAACCAAGGATTTCCCGTGAGTCAAGTCTTGCCATGAGGAGGTTGGAAACTGGCCTACAGCATTTACTCGGCTCCGCGTTGTGGCCTCGGTTGACAACACGACCGATACATGACATGAGACTTTTGCCAGCATCCGCTGATTTCACTGAAGGTCTGATTTGTTCGCTATTCCGTACGAGCAACAGTCCCGGACCCATTTGAACCGTGCAGTTTTACGCGATGTATGGCAATCCATGTCCATGTGGTACATTGCATGGGCTAGGAAAACATCATTGCAGCTCAAAGCACTTGGAGATTCCAAGCTGGCCGTTTGGCAACGAGAGGACAGTTCCGTTTCATTTCGATCAGGCTTGATTGCTTGCCTGAGGGAGCCTGCTCCATGTGGAAGGACTTGGGCAGCATCCTTGCCTTTGATGATTTCGATGGAGCGCTAGAGCAAGACAACAAGGTGCGAGCAGAAATCCGACTTCAAAGCATGTCTGTCACCATGAGAGCCGAACGGGATCCGCATCGCATCAAAATGCTGCATCTGCAATGTGTGGTGTGGTTTGTAAGCCCCCAACCAACGCTCTGAGTCCGCTCTTGGTACGGGCTGCATGTGAGTGCATCATGCTCGTTCGGGAGCGATTCCAGTTTTAAGTTTCCCACGCCTGTGAGGTGCGAAGCCTTCGGTCAGTGTTCATTTTTGCGACGCTCTCCAAGCAGCAGCTCCAACGTCCGACACAGAGCGCATCGGAAGTTTAGGTGGCGCTGAGCATCTGCAAGAAGACTGCTTACAAGACGGTGTTGCTGTTGCTGGTGGCGCATGCTGGGGTCAGGTCTTGCAAATGCGCTCCAGATTCAGATTGTGCGGAGCGGCAAGAGGGTCTGCAGCTCCGATAATCAGGGATTGCATGTGCAGCCGTTGGGCGTCACTGAAGGGTCGTGCTGCAAAACGACAGGTCTTCTCTCAGGGTGACCAAGGAACGTGTGTGCCTCAACATGTAGGATTCAGACAATCCACATCAATCCACCAGGTCCGTCCTTTAATCGCCAAATCCAAGGCATTTCTACATCATCCGCAAGGGGGCAGTCAGCGTAGAGATTGATGGGCGCATGAAACGGCGGCTGCGACCTCAACAATTGATCGCCTCACATTGGCACCTGCGTGAGCAAAATACATGCAGGCTCGGGGATCCAGACTACTTCGGTGAGCGAGCGCTCTTGGGAAGTGAGATTCGCAGCGCGAGCATCACAGCACTGGAGGAAAGCTGTTTGCACGCTTGTGCATTCCGTGCACATACATATTTGCATGCGTTCAGGACACGGAGCTTTGGAAAATGGGGAAGGAAACTTTTCAAGAAATGATGTTTGGTGCCGAGAGTTAATCTGCATGGGCAACATGGCTGTGAAGCTTATAGCCTTGTTTGCAAGGCAGGGCCCGTGCTTGGACTACCTGAAAGATCGCATTTCACTGCAGGACGCCGTGGGCGAAACCCACAGCATGCGGCACAGACTTCGATTGTACTACATTCTAGTGCAGCAAATGAGTCTCGCAGTGGTTGTTTTGATATTCAGAGCTGAGCATTGCCTTCGATATCCTGCCGCGGATCAGGATACCAACCTGACCTTTCGAGATCTCGAGTCCGATCCTTTGCAGATGTGTTATTGAGTGCAGGGAGCATGAAGTAAGTCTTCCAGACGCGAGTGGCCCATAGTGTGCAAAGCCTTGCAATTGCGATCCTGGCGGCTTGGCAAACTGCTGCAGTTTTTGGCTGGGTGGGCGGCTGAAAAAGAGGGCCTGCAAGGAACTTCAATGTCAAACTTGCTTGTTCCGGCTCATGCCTTCCTTAGCCTTAGCATCGCTGCACTTTGCCGCCCTCCCGCACGAGCAGAAAGCTGGGGAAGCGTGAGAAACCTCATGGGGGCCAGCGCCGGCATCCAGATTTGGAAAGTAAGATAAGTGGGGCCACGAAGCCGCCACTGATCAAGGGAAAGTAACGACAGTAGTTGTTCACGAATGTAAATGTACATGACTGCATGATGCGAGGCATGACATGAGGCCAAGACCCTCAACCCCATCTCTTCCAACAAGTGTTGCATTTCTGCCGCAGAGAAAACTGAAACGTTTCGTCTTATCCCGGCATGAGTCAGCGATGACAAAGTTTAAACTCCGTGAGCTGCCCGTCGTACATCCCTACAATGCCGGAAGTTGATGCTAGAAAGTTCAGCTGTTGAAGTTGAGGCACAGTGCCCGTCGCAGTGAAGGTGTTTCACAGGGAATCCTGTAGACGACTCCAAGCTTCGCAACACCTTTGCGGAGTGGCTTTGTGCGTGTGGTATTCACGCGCATTCACTGTATGAGGGATTCCTTGGGACACTTTGTGACAGAATGGGGTCGGGGCAAACCTTGAACAAGACCTTCCGTCACCACGCAGAAGAGTGCAGCCTTCGTTTTACTTGCAAGTTTCACCATTACACTGTGATCACTTGCAGACCAGCATGTGGCCCGGACCTGTATCAGTCCTCCCTGCTGGAAGCACACTCTTAGCGCTGGCCGGTTGCTCAAGGTTCGTGCGCGTGATTGGCCGCGGTGGCTTTGGTGTGGTCAAGATGGTGAGGGCGAAAAAGACTGGAGTCAGGTCGCGCGCCGAGTTGATGACATCTGATGAGGCATTTGTGCATATCGACGGAAGAGCGGTAGTGCATGGTAGGTATGCCCTGAAGTGTGTCCGCAAGCGTGACGTCGTGGAAAAGAACGTGCAAGATGCACTGGTCTCTGAGCTTAGCATTTTGAAAGAGGCGCGGTGCAGAAAGAACAGCACCATGCTGTGGGGGTTCTGTTGTGCCTTCTTGTAGGTGGATCACCCTTTCATCATCAAGTTTGTAAGATCATTTCGAAACGAGCCGGGAGCTTGGCGCTTGCATTGATTCCACGCTTCAATCTAGCAGCTTCTTCTACTGCCTTTTCAAGGTCTCGGGTGTACTTCTTAATGGAGCTGGTAAGCGGTGGTGAGCTCCTTGATGCTCTGGATGCCTTGGGGCTGCTGAAGTACTCGCAGGCAGATATGTTGCATTCTCAAATTCGGCAGGAGAAGATCACTCTTGTTTTGTTGGATGCTGCCTCACTGCGGGCATGACTACTGTATTTGCAATTAACTTGCATGTCATCCGCTGGAGGCTCTTTTCTACACTGGTTGCATAGTTCTGGCACTGGAGTTTCTGCATTCACGCCGTGCGTGGCTCAGGAATGAGGGATGCAGGATGCAGTTTGGCCGTGACGGAGCGAGTGTGTCGAGCCAAGTTTGTGCGCGAGGCATAGCCTACCTTGATCTGAAGAGCGAGAACTGCTTGATCGACCAACAGGCCCGCATTTTGGCAGCACGGTGCCACTCGCAGTTTTTTTCAGCCTGCACCTAGGGCTACCTCAAGATGATCGACTTCGGCATAGCCAGGCGCATCACCAACACAAGGTATGGGCCTCTCAAGGCCGGCTCCAGACTGGTTTGTGCGACTCGTTTCTGCAGATAGAGCATGAGTCGTCGTCAATGCTCTTGCATATGCCCGACAAGCCTCGACAGGGCACTCCGATGTTCATGGCTCCTGAAATGATTCTTGGCAAGGCTGTTGTTGGTAGCAACGTATCTCATGCAGGGGCAGGGGAGTTCTGGGATGCTTCTGTTTTCAGGGCCACACGACTGTGGCCGATCTCTGGAGTCTGGGCATTTGCCTGTACGAATTTGTCAGCGGCTCAGGAAAAAGACAGAATCACCGACCCAGTTTGCATTTCCATTTAGGTCATCGGCCACTTCCCGTTTGCAAGCAACTGTTCAAATCATGGCCAGACTCGCTCTTACTGTTTGGTGCAATCAGTGCGCCACACATGGCCGTATCACAGTTGCCTGGCAATGTGCACTTCTCTTCGTGAAGGATTTTCCATCAAATCCTGAGAGCTGAGCTGCGCTTTCCCGAATGGTCGCACTTGCCCTGTGTTGTCAATGTTTCCAGTCACGTGGCATTCGCTGCGATGCGATCTCGGAGTCGGGCGAGTCGGGGGTTTTCGCCGCGAGACAAGCCGGCTGGTGGCTGTGCCAGGTTTGACAAGCAGCCAATGGCAGATGAAATTATCAGTTGACACCTCAGCACCGCATGCAGACTCACTGCTTACTTGAATCATTATTGCGAAAGCGAGTCTTTGAGGACTTTGAGGACTGAGCTTGAGTTTGGGACTTCTATAAACTGCCTAGTTGGTGCGTTTGCTGTTCTTGGAGGCTAAGCTCGCCCTCGGATCACCAGTCTGAAATTGTGCGAAAACTTGCAAAACCCACACAAAACCCTACATCATAGCCAGCTAATAAGCCCGCATTTTGCATGATTTCCAAGACTGAATCTGAACCTGTAAGGAAACACACCATATCGCAGTTATAGTAGGGACCTCCTTTCGTCGGATGTGGTGTGTCACTGCAGAACCCATGTCATGTCTCAGCCCAAGCAAGACCCAAAAGGAATGACAGGTTCCAACAGCCCTAAACCGACAGATTGACACTGGCAGCCGACAACGCGGCTCAACATAGTTTGAACCGGGGTACCGTCGCCTCCTTGGACTTGCTACGGCACAGGCTTTCATATTTTACATGCAGCTGCGAACGATGCAGCGACACGTGGAAGGTTTCCCTTGCAGACTGAGGTTGCCAATCTGGTTGCAACAAGGATTCAGACATGTCGAAACAAACGAATTGCGGAGGAGGCCAAACAGTGCGGTGACAGGCCATGGCTTCTTACCGTGCCATGTTGTGGTAAATGAGCCGCGACCATGGGCTCTTGTGCGGAGCTGGTCCGCCAGCAAACTGGGCTGGCGACGTGGCGAAGCAACTCCGGACTCAACCTGCAGTGACACCTCAGGTGCTTCTGAATGCAGGTGAGACTGGTCATGACGGCCCGGTTTCGTGCCCATCCGTGCTTGCGGGAAATTACATGGAGGCAGCCAATGGAAGCCCGAGCAGCTTTTGCTTGCACCTGCCAACCCCCAGCCGTGCCAGCTTCAAAACAGTCGTGAAGCATGTGAAGCAACAGCCGCCAGGCCGAAAATCGAGGCCATCGAGCCATATGGAGGTGACTACCTTGGCCAGAGCGGTGGTAGGTCGCCGGTCGGAGCTCCGGGGCGTGCCAATGGTCAGTGTGATTCCTTTAAAGGTAAAGGGGATAGGACCCAAGTTCAAGAGAAGTCAAGAGCACCAGACAAGAAATGGAGGACGGAAACCGTCAAGAAAGCAGCTCCGCGTAGTCAGAGTGCGCCCAGGTGCGAAGCCGCTGGTTGGTGTTCGACAACTGCCCGAAGCAGAACGCGACGTGGATGCATGCCGAGGGTGAGCCACGGAAACGCCCTGGACGAGCCCAGTGAGGGGCTGACGGCTCAATTGATGCCCCTCATCGGGGGCGGCACAGCACAACAAATTCGATCAAATTCGGCTACAGGGTGACCCTCGAGTCTTCTTGCGTGTCAGGCACGCTCAAGATGCGCACCAAGGCCACCGCCGTGTCCAGAATAGCAACCTTGACAGCCGTCGCCTTGCACCCGGCATCTGGTGCCTGCAGAATACAGCGTGGTGACGTTCGCTTTTCGGGGCCAGCACAACGCTATGGTGCCCGGCGATGGGGCACCCAGTTCTGGGTACTGCTTTCACGTGAGTTTGTAGCGGCAAGGCTTACTGCAGGTGTCATCATCCGGGTTTCGGGCACGGTGGCAAGTTGTTCGTTCACCAGTCTCTTGGCAACCCGTGGCAAGAGCGGCCTTATATACCGTGAGCCATGCCTCCGCAAGTCGGCTCAACTGTGGCTTGTGGCTTAGGGCGGCAGGATCGGGGCTCGGTCCACGGGACCTGCAACAAAAGTCGCGAATCTGGCAGTTCCAGCACTTTGTTAGATCTCAGTGCTCGAGCCAGCTTTCGACGAAATCACGTTGATCCACCGCCGCAGGACCGGCAGAGAGTACCTCTACTCCACAGGTTTCGGTACGCACAAGCAATGTCAATGTCCCACTGCAGGTGTCGGTGGATGATGGAGCCAGCGCGCCTGGCGAAATCACCACGTGGGCTTCTGTCGCCCCACAGCCCGGCCGCATGGCAGCAAGCAGCAACGGTTGTGGCAATCGCCGGTGCCCCCTTGTGCAGAAGGGCTTGCTTTTTGGGCTTCAAAGCTTGTCAACGTGAGCAGCAAAGAGACCTCGCCTTGTCAGGCTCGCACTTTAGCGGGAAGTGCGGACGCCGTGCAAGCTCGCGCCGATGGAGAAGGACGGGGCGTGCATGCACCATGCCATTGCTCGTGGACTTCCAGTGGATGTCGGGCAAGACACTGACCGTGTTCTGTCATCGCGATCTTCGCGAAGCGCAAACACAGGCTAGGCCCCATCTATAATACATGTGTGCAATGACATTCAGGGAGTCCAGAAAGAAAAGAACAGACGTCTTATATGGCATACTCCAAAAAAAGCACATAGATCTGATCCTGCCCACACAGGATGCCGCCGCCTACTACCCTGACGGCCTGTGCATGTCCAGTCCTGGACAGGTGGTAGATCTTCGCACGGGGATCGCAGCACTTCTCTGCTTCGGTGCTGGTACAAAAGGCCCTCCCATGATGGAACAGTACAGTCTGCTGCCCCGGTGAGGTTGCATCAGGATGAAGATTTGATCACCTTCCAGCCACAGCAAATGTGTCGGATCCGAACCTGCACATGTCGGCCTGCGCTTGCAGCGCCAGCGAACCGTGCCGGGCCGAACGAGGTTCCACCGGCAGTCTTCTTCTCGGACAGCTTGGAAGGCAGGGGCGCCGTCCCAGCCGTTGTCGACGACACCTGACAGTTGCGGGCTAATGGCACCCGGCCACGCGGATCAGCTGGAATGGCAACACAGTTTTATGTTCCCCGCGGCCTTCCATTAGTTCAAACACTGACTGAAGCATCCGATGCAACCTCCACAGCAGGTTGACGCTCAGAAGGCGAGTCTTCAACAGAAATGGCTGCACGCCGTGACCTCTTCGCAGCCCAAAGCTGAAAAGGTGGTGTGCCTGCAAGCCTGCAAGTACGGGCGGACGTAGATGGTTGGCGGAGGTGGGTGAGCTGAGCTGTCCTCCAAGTAACGTAGCAGAGGTGGGTCCACAAGGATCTTTCTTGTACTCAAGGTCGTTCGCCAAGCTCAGCTGGCTCTGGTAAGGACCATTGCGGCCTTCAGTGATCTCTGTCGGCTCACCTTCAAGAAGGGGACTGTAGCGACGATTGAGCTGGTGCGGTCGAGTCCGCTGTCGTAGACGCCGCTTCTGTTGCCTGGTCAACATAGATAGCCAGGCAGGCCCGGAGGGGGCGAGATCACCGGCGCACCACGGCCACCGTCAGGTGGCAGAGGGACATACTCAGGGAGCTCAGACATAATATGGCAGCGGTCACAGACCCTCAAAGTCTGTAGCCGTCTCATTTCATCCAGCTGCTGCTCAATCAACGTCAGCGCGTCCACTGCCGCCGTTGCCTGCCTGGCACCCTTAGCCGCCAAGGCCTTTAACATCTGGTTGGTTTCGGTCAGGATCTCCGTCATCTTTGTCGATCTTATTCAGGCGCTCCAGGCTCAGATGAAGTAGGCGGGGCCGTGGCTGGCACAGTCGTAGTGTAGATGCCTTTGCCAAAAAGGAGCAATTGCCGAAGTAGGGGAAGTTGCCGTGCTCGCCGCCCGTCCTTGGGCCTGTGCTGTTTGGACCCGCGCAGCAGGTAGCGCTCACCCCTGTTCAAGCCCGTCCACGAATGAACGAAGGTGCACTGCTTTCCATTCTTGCACCCTTGGTCCGTTCCAAACACTGACACGGCTGAACTCCCTGCAAGGGCCGGAGGCGTAGCCGCCCGTGTTTTCTTAGTTCCCAATCCTAGCTGCTCAAGCTCGGCTACCAGCTGCTGGAGGAACGTCATGACGTTCTGCTGGCTCGGTTTCGAGTCAATCTGGAGCTCCGTCTTCGCCAAAGCGACTCGGAACTTGAAGTCGCTGTGGATTCCCGCGGTGCGCCTCACGATGTTGGACAACGACCTCACCTGCAGCGACTCGTCCAGCAGCGCTATGTTGAGATCAGCTTCCCTCTGTGGCAGTCGGTGCCATTTCCGGTTGGCCAAGACTGCTTCCGCTTGTCCCGGGCTGGACTCACAGCATCTAGCTGTCTCAGCAGCTGCGCCCTGTCTTGAGCACCCCCCGGCTGGAAGACCGCCGTCAGTCTGCAAAGTATCTGGTGAACACCTTGAGTCCAGTGGGCCACCAATTCATCACGAACGCCTTTCGGAAGGGAGTTGAGAAGAAGCGAGGCCACCTTGCGCTCCGATCCCTGGTACTTTTCATACTTAAGGTCTTCAGAGAGCACCGCCGCACCGCCCTAACACTCAACCTCTTCATTCGAGAAAGCGCTGGTACTCTCCACAGGCCTTCTGGGCAAATACGCTGCCACCAGTCAGTAGCGCCTGAGGCGAGGCTTCCCACTTGCTGCTCCGTAAGGTACAGGTAATCCTGGAAGTCCGTGGCCCCAGAATCCGGGGTGTACTCGGGGAGCTTGGACAGCTCAACCCGGTGATGAGCACATCAAAGAGACTGGGCGTCCCCGTCGCAGCAGTAGGCACCTCAGGTGCGGCGCTGCCGTGGTAGCTGTATCAGGATCCGCACGATGCGGTGGAAAGCCCCCACCGAAGGTAGCGTCAACCTCCACCGGCTTTGCTCCGTAGAGGCTTCTTCCATAGGTCGCACTCCGTACATATCAGCCTCGCCGAGTCTAAGAAGAAGATGTCCAGTTCCACGACGAAGGAAACGGCCTCTCACATTGGCCGCTGTTGAACCATTGCGCCCCGATCCTCCCGGACTAGACGAAGCCACACGGCCCCTCGCGCCCGGACGAGCACTTCTTGAAGCCTTGTCTAGCCAACCTTTGCATCCGTCACTGGCTCGGCCCACTGCCGCAAAATCATCATCATGACGCAGTCGAATACCACTGGGATCCCCCCGCGATTCAAGCGCTTGACCACCTGGAACATACGGTTCAAAAGTTGCGGGACCAACCTGACCTGTTGCATCCATCCCGCTTTGGAAACACGATCACCTCCAAGTACTCCACGCGACTTGTAAGAGGAGCCTGGCCACTATCAGGTACGGCCACCAACAAATTCATTTGCATCGCTTTGGGCTGCCATCCCGCAACATGGCCGCGTCCCTCGTTTCTGGCAGCATGCTTCTATTGTGCTCCTTGATAACAGCCAGGACACTCCGGGCATCCCTCGCCGCCTGCAGGGACGGATCACCACGTCCTGGCGACTCCGTGGCCGATGTTCACTGGAAGTTCACCACTATCTACAGTATCCACAGTGCCTGGTGTTCTGGCAGGATTTGTCCTCGTTCGTCGACTCCCTGTCGATGCCAGCGGCGTGCCAGGCTCCAACAGCTGAGTGCCCCTCCGACACTTGCTCGTCGGCACCAGGGTTTTTACCGGCAGCAGCTTCGACTTTCTGTGTCCAGGGTCACAAGTCGGACCGATGGCATTGCGACCACACTGGTTTATTGCAATGGTGCCCGCTGTCGGCGGCCCTGAGCCTATGAGTCCCTCTCTTTGGGCAAGCTTTGTGGTTTCGCCCGAGATCGAGACTGGGATTTACGTTGATGATGATAGACACCCCGCTCCTCCCCAGAGACCGCCGATGCAGCCCAATGCTGCGACCGTTCTGACAAGGCCAAGCAAGATGTCCAAGCGCCACCTTAAGAAACATGTATCTGGGAACCGCCTGCTCCGCTGACGGCGCGCTCGTGCCGTGACTTCAACCAGGCGGCTGATGATGAGGCCAACCGGTTGTGACGAGTCCGTGCTCCTGGGTCTGCTCGCGAACGATGGTGGGCCAGCTTCGCCGCAGCTCAACAATGTCCAACGTGAGAAACAGATATAAAGCTACGCCTATACTGCCGGGCAGCTGAGCAATGCGGAGCACTCATGTTTGTACAGTCCCGATGCAGCCGGCACCAGGAATCGTGGCTGATGATGTATAGTATAGTTTTTCGACCTAGCTTCTCGCTTCTGGGCTCGACGCCGTTTGACTGGCGTGGGAAGGCCTCGGCTGCCCGCGTCATTGCACCCCCGAACAAAACCAGACAAATCCGTGCACCCGTGCGGCAACTCTGGCCAGCCCCTCCGCAGTGGAGTGTCTGGGCACGATGCTTCTAGAGTCGTGAGTCAACCTCTCGCATGGTACATGTTGCCGGCATGGAGGCAGTCGGTCTTGGGATGACTGGCCTTCCAGCCTTTGATCTGCGAGGTTTGATACGAGGCCTTCTTACTCGTGACCCGAAGAAACGGTTGGGTGCTGGTCACGAAGGCCGGGTATTGGACAAGAGAGTGCACCGAAGATGCCAGACGTTAATTTCTGCCTTGTCTTAGTTACTGCTGTCAGGATATACAAAACTCAAGGCACATCCGTTCTTCAAGCACTTGTGTCTACAGCTCAGCGAGACCAAGAAGCGCGATCAACTGCGAGCAAACTGGTGCGATGTACATCCCGTAATCTCAGCATTGCTGCTCAGGCTGGGAAAAGCTTTTGGGTCGTGAGCAAGAGCCTCCATTTGCTCCAACGAGTGAAACGTATGCGGAGGACTGCCAGGGTCCGTTCAGAAGAAACCAATCAATCAATACAGCTGGCTGTCGCTACGAGTTGCTTTTGGCGAGCAGGATAAAGAGAGATCCGCAGGTTTGCAAGCAGTGGGAGACAGTTTGCCCACTGTGGAAGAGGAGGAGGCATTTGCACGTCATCATTTGTTTGCGGTGGGGTGTGCGGATGTCAAAGCATGCACGGGATGAGCAGGCAAGGTTGGCTTAGTTGCTACGCATCCCACATGCAGGCACGCTGCGCAGCGTCCGAAGACCCCTGGGAGGATAGGGAAGCAAAGATGCATCTCGCTAGTGGCACGTCTCGTTGAAAAGCCACACCCATGCAGCACAGGATCCTGCACCAGGTTGGGATGCAGACTTCTGAGGTTTCCTTTATTTAGATCTGCCACCCGTGCAGATATTCGCAACAGCAAGGTTGCGGTCCTTTTGGGTTCCTCCTAGAAAGCGTCAAGCGGTCTAGCTGTTCCAAAATCGTAGAGCCGGTTCAGACCAGAAAAGAGATTCGTCTTGTTGAAGCA